GCCCGCCCCGGGGGGGCCCCCGCCCCCCCCGGCCCCTCGCTCGGCTGCCGCCCCTGCAGAGCCGCTGCGGTTGCTTGGCTGGAGCAAGCGGCCGGGTCCTGGCTTGGGGCACCTCAGCCATGGGCAGAGAAGGGGCCGCGCCAGGGTGCTCTTGGAGGGGGCCTGTTAAAGCCCCATTTTCCTTCTACTCCACCGGGTGGTGCTTGGGCAGCTCTGGGACCTACCTCAGTGTTTGCCAAGACGAGATGCGTCTTCTGCAAAAAGGACGATTGTACAGTGGCCCCTCTCTTGGCACAAGCTCCTGCAACTGCAGGCAAGGCCGTGGGGCTGTGCTTGGCCTGAACTTATTCCCCGAGAGACAGACCGTTCCTGATCCTCTTCCTAGCTTGAGACCTGGGACAAGTTTTTCTCTTCACGGGTGGGAACTGGAACAAGCCCCTGCTGAGCGACTTTGCCACCACTGTGAAACATTCAGGAGTTGAGTTTCACATGGAATTGTTTATCGCCTCCTGGTGAAGGCAGCTCGTCCCTCGGCCTGGGGGGCAAGCCTGTGAGGCGGCACTGTGCCTGGCCTGTCATCCTGAACCGAGCCTGTGCTCCCAGGTCCTGATGGGGTGGAGAAGGGCTGAGTAGCAAGCAGTTCATTACTGCCCAGGTAGGGGCAGTGGGCACTAAGGGGGGGGCTCCCTCCATAGCTTACTGTGCTTTCTTAATACAGAATGATTTCAACTGGGACTTGGACCCTCACTTAAAACATCCCACTCCTTCACCAGTTTCAGTGTTCAAATGCCCTAAGAACAGTGGTGCTTACGGTTTTGCAGGCCAGATGCATGGTGTGGGGCCAGCCTGTGAGCTGGCCCAGGCCCCATGACACCCCTGCCTGGATGGGATTGGGCTCTGGGGCCCTCCAGTGCCCTGCAGAGCTCCCCACAGATCCATGGGTAGCTCTATGGACTAGATGACACGGTCCCAGGAGTCAGATCAGAGGTTGAGCACCCCTGCCCTAGAAAGCTGGTATTGCTCACTTACAGGCAGCTTTGATGGGGTGCTTTTCTGAGTAGGTACAACATAACTGGATCTTAAGAATGTAGTTGCATGAACATACTTAGAGAAGATCTATGGAGAAATTACATCCAGAGTAATTATAGCTGCTCTGCTTTAGTTACTTACAGCTGGAGATAATCTTATTCACTTCCTGACCTAGACTGTTTTATAGTGTTCCTGTGCCCTTTTAGAGCCTGACCCTGAAGTCTTCAGTCAGTGTAAACTCTCAGCTGAATCAACCAGTTTAAATCATAAAACATGAGAATAAAGTTTAAAGCATAAAACAAGAGAACGTGGAAATAGAACTAGAGAAAAATGTGTGGTGTGGAAGAAATCAAAGAAAGTGTAGACATTAATTTATTTTCCTCTGGTATTGTATATCCTGAACTATTTCTAGAGTTGCAAGCAATCTCTTTGAACACTGAGAACATTTTCAAGAGGAAGGCAAGGACCTGAAGAAGAATGTTCTGCATTTGAAAGCTTGTCTAAGGCTACCCCAACAATGCAGTTAGGCCAATAAAATATATCGCCCACAGAATCTTTGGCCACTGTCATACTTCCTGGACCATCATGGCTACAACACCATTCTAGCATTTCAAGAAGATCTTTCACTATATCATCCCTTTCTAAAATCATTTTAATATGCAAAATCACATGGTGAAAAGAATGCTTTGCAATTTATGAACAGTTAGAATATTTTAATTGGTAAATTAATACACTTTATTACTTAAGCTTGCACCATCCTAGTCAACTGGGAATTGTTGATTAGAGTTCATTTGCAGTATGGCCACAGCATTTGGAATCTCTTCAAAGTGTTACAGTGCCAGAGTTCAGACCTGCATGACGGACACCAAAAAATGACAGAAGTTTGGGATGTGAAGAGATGAGCAGGGTCAATTAGAACATCAATATATGCTTTTTTTTTCACCAAGAATTAATGTTATTCACTTGTGGACTCTTCTTCAGCTGGCAGTTCTGCTTCTTAATGTGCCTTATCAGGTGCTTGATAAATGCTATGACTGCAAATAGGTATTTTTTCTGCATAAAGACTGCAGCAGCAGATCCTCACTGTAATGTTAACCATTGTTGGCCCCTCCCTCAATTTTAACACAGACACTGAGCTAGATAGTAGATTTTGTGTTCTCCAAGTCTAATGGATGCATAGGAAATTGGCATATGTACTGCACCTTTGTTTGGAAATCATATACTTTGTCTTAGCAGTATGAACCTGAAAATGGGACGTCCCAAATCTAAACAGTGGAGTATAAGATGAAATGGGCCCTGGCCTTTTCCCAATCACTTGGCTAATACAAACAAGAGCAGGGATGTTTTAACCTATATGCTTGTATCATTCTAGGTGAGGAAGTGCATTGTAGAGGTCATTTCAGATACTTTGTCAAAGCCAAGCCCACTGCCAATCAGCTAGGAATGGGAATGCCTAGAAACTCTCAGAGGAGGTATGAAGAACTGCTTTACCATGGTCTCATGAAAACTGCTTATCAGCTGTAAATAACATACTGCCCAGTTCAGAGCATGTGCCCTGTCAGGACAAAGTTCAAGACAAAGCACTGCCTGCACTGAAGCTGAAGTTTGGGAGTAATTTGTATGAAATAAAAAAATCTAGTAATTTTTAAGTAAACTGATGGGGCTTACCAGTAAGATCAAATTTAAAAAAATCAGCTGATTAGCTAAAGGACTGGATAAAAAAGGCAGGTAAAAAAAGCTTGTCTTGCTGTTTGAAATCTTCCATAACAAAGCTTCTCTGTCATAGATAAAAGGATCGTTTCAATTCTTCGACATCAAAATTTACTGAAGGAGCTTCAAGAAATTGCAATTGAAGGTATAGTCCGGCATTAATTAAACTGTGAGGAGGGGTGGCAACAAGTTTTATTATACCTCTATATGAGTCTTCTGTACTGGTGCCTTTCAACACCTCAAATTAAACCAAGCTTAAAATAATTCAAGATGAGCTGAGTTAAAGGTGTTCCTTGCTATCCCCTTCTCCCTGTTGTTATTCTTTCATCACATAGACTGTGTTTTCCTTAGGTCTGTAATGCAAAATGTTTTTTTGCATCATAGGGAAGCAGCAGAAGGGAGGAAGTGGGGAAGCATTAGCCATAGGAGGTTCTTCTTTTCTCTCTACTCTGTCCGGGCTGGGAATGAGATAAGTGTGACTAGACAAGACCATACTTCATACTGCTTGGCCTCTTCATAGTGAGGGAGGAGGACTGGTCCAAAAATGTTGACCCTCTATTTTTCTTTACTAAGATTTGGAGGTGAGATAAATTGAGATTGGCTATGCCTATTCTGGGAATGCAAAGTGCTAGAGAAGAGCTGGTTGGATGGTTTAATAGCAGAGATACTAAACTGAGACTCAGGAAATGTGCGATCAATTCCTGGCTCTACCACAGATGTCTTGTGTGACCTTGGGCAAGTTGCATTACGTCTCATTTCCCCAATCAGAAAACCAAGGGTAACACTACTTCCTTTCTCCTAGTGCTTGTCTCGCCTTACCTAGTTAAGCTATATTATTTTGGAGTCAGGGACTAGTTTTGTGTTTGTACATAACACAGCACAATAGGAACCACTACCTTGATTGAGGGTTAGGGTCTCTGGACACTATCCCTACTTGTTTCTCCTTTTCCAATGAAATGTGAGAGCAATACAGCATACTGTGTGGAAGAATCCCTATTTGTCTTTACTGGAGGGTTACGCAAAAGAGGCCACAGCTTCCCACTAATATACCAAGTGGAGGGGATTGCACATGGGAGAGGGGGCAAGAATGTTGCATTGCAGGAATAGCAAGCACTGAGCAGGAAGAGATGTACAAGTCCTGGTTACCCTTTGACTCATGGAGATAATTAAGGAACTCCTGGAAGGAGAAGTGCACCACTTCAGTGGAACTATTTATGACTAAAAATAAGCATATACTTAGCATGCTTTGTTGGATGAGGGCCTTGCATTTCAATGCATATTCTTCTATCCACCCTGAGTCCCCTCCTGCAGCATTACTGCTTTCCAGGTGTTTCTCTCACATTAAATGTCTGTTTGTTTAGGGATTCTCTCTCTCTGATACACTGGTTTACACATGATGTACTTTACCGAGGCCTTGTGATTCCAGTTGGTTCAAGCTACTCCTAGGTTTGGCCTTGTTAATTTATATCCTCATCCCAGATTTTCACTATCCAAGATTCATTCTGAACAAAAAAATATTCTAAAATTTTATTCCAATCCCAATCTTTAAAATATAGTAGGGAACATTGCTCTTTTTCCCCTCCCCTCTTTGGCACAGGTGCTAATGAAAGAAACCAGCAGCAGAAGAAAAACAGTGGGTTTGAAGATGAACTTTCAGAAGTCCTTGAAAGCCAGAATGATAACATGCAAAGAGGTTAGTGTCAGCATAACCCACTGTAAATCAGTGTATTACCAGAAATAGGGATGTTCTTTCTAACAGCCTTGATGCATACATATCCTGCATATGTGGGGGCCTTTTTACTGCTGAAATAGCCTAGTGACCTTGGGCTTGCTTTGGAATTGGTCAAAGGCTTAGGAAATAAGTCATTTCTGAGCTAGAATAAATGGTGAAATTCTAGATGATAGCCAATGCTAATTTTTTTTCTCCCTAATCTTGCTGCCAAAAGTATCGCCCATTTTCATATTAGAATGAGTGCCAGATAGTGAAACACTTGATAACATATAAAAAGAATGGTTACTCTAACTAGCTGTATATTTTTTCTAGTTTACATGTTACAGTCACCCCCATCATACAGCATTAATAGCTGAGTCATACAGCTCTTGAAATAATGGAAGAGTTGGGTGCACAAAAATGTGGGCTTGCATCCTAAAAGTATTCAATTCAGCTGTGGGTTTTCTGTTTGGTTGGGTTTTTTTCCTCCCTAGTTCAGTCCTACTAACTAGAGCTATCTCACAGTTACTTTCTATAGTTCAATGCTCTCCCTCTTCCATAGCAAGAGAAGGTCATGCCAACATCAGAGAAGCCTGCTACAAACAGACTTCCATAGAGAATGGAATCCAAAGTAAACCACACCACTATTAAATGAATATAGTGTAGTTCCTACTGTGCTACAGAGCTATTTCTATCAGATGTTTATTATCCCTTGCTGGGCAATGTTCTGAGCGGTTGCCATCGTCTGCCATGCACCCAGGCTTGCTGACCCTCTGTGGCCAATAACCACTCCCATTGATTTGCTTGTTATTAAGGGAGCAAGACTAAAGGAGGCTGAAAACTCTCCTTTGGCCAGAAACTGATCCTCCTCCCACTGAAATCTGTGGGAGCAGAAGCCAGGCATTGCCTTATTGTACAAATTACAATGCTGGTGGCATAATCACTCTCCCAGCCCCAATGGACACAATTAAAATGAGGAGTCTTGACCCTGATGCTCCTACATCTGGGACTCCAGCCAGTCAGACCATTGCTCCTTTTATGCCAGGGATATTTAGTAGAATGAGGGACATTCATTACATTTATTCACCTCACAGGTTTTTCTCTTCTGTTTTTTCATTCCATTCTCTCCCTTTCTCTCCTTCCATTTATATGCTGTACTTTGTTCTCTGTTCTATTTTCATATACCTTTTGCTTTTTACCGTTCCTTTTTCTCTTGAAATGTGATTATAATTACACTTTTATATGAGAGCTCTGAGATCAGTCCGAGGTGAACAGTCATAAATTGGTAGAATCACGTGGCCAGCTGACCAGATTACAACCCCATGTTATATGTAAATAACACATTGCTATCTGGTCTGTTCTGAGAGTTACAGCCCTTTGAGTCATTTGGCAGAAAGCATTTTGGCACCTCCATGATACTTTTATTTATTTAATCTGATTTCTAGTGGGCTGCTAGCTTGTCATTCAAATCTAGACAGCAGTAAAGATGCTGCTTCATCAGGGCACGAGCATATACATTGACTTGTTCAATATGGTAAGCTTCAGTGGAAGTACTGACATGCTTCAATGTAAGCAAATCCTTCTCACTTAAATGATTCAATTAATTGAATTTATCCTCAAAAAAATGTAAGTCTCCTCATATGTGAAATAGACTATTAAAGACAGGTTCTATTTTTGCCATATTGACCCCACAGATAAGGGAAAGGAGATCCCTGCAGAGGAAGCTGCAGCCTCCCTTGCTGAGCTAGAGGCAGAAAAAATGCAGCATAATGAGAGGGAGAACTCAAAAGAGGACGAGAAAAACAGCCTGGAAGAGAGGGAGCCAAGGCCACGTGATGTTGACCCTGAAGACAAGGAGAATGCAGAGGAATTTGAGAGCAATGAGATTGGTGAGGCAGAAGAATCCCCAAGAGAAGATGCTTTAGACAATCACATTGGTGATGACCTCAGCGAGGATGAGGTGTCTGAGCAGAAGCACCAAGAGGGTGAAGATCAGCCTGCAGGGACCAATGAAAGTCTGGAGCTTGAGGAAGCAAGGGAGAAAGTTTCTAAAAAGGACCAGGAGGAAAGCAAAGAGGAGAAAGCTGTAGAAGAACATGCAGAGAAAGATGGTGACAGGAGAGACACCCCCCGAGATGAACAGCCAACAGAAACAGAGGGGCTTTTCGGGTCAAATGAGGATGAGAGTGAGGAGATTCAGAGGGAAGACAGTATGTATTTCTGATTGTGCCTGAGCCACTGCATTGATTTTTTTTTTTTTTTTTTTTTTTTTTTTTTTTTTGGTATTTGACAGAATTCCAGGACAGATTTACAAAGGCACATAGCAGCCTAAAAAGAAAGATACATACATACAAAATACACAAATGTGTTAGGTATCCAACTCCCACCAGAACTTCCATTAGTGGCTGCCTGTCTGTACAGGCACCTAAATATCTTTGTACTTCTGGTCCTCTGACACTTTGCTTTGACCGTGACTCTGGCTGGATGCAGTTCTCAAAGAGTTTCTAACTTAGTTATTTCTGCTCCTCAGGGTTGCTAAGTGTTTTATGAATGCCATTGACTCCATTCTCTGCCATCAACACTGCACTGCATCCATATTTTCTTCTTCAGCACATCAGAATAACTAGCTGTGTTTTCATTTTGACCAGTGATTCTCAAACGGGGTGCTGTGGGGTGCCACACTGTTACATATACAAACATGATTCACAACATAAACCCAAAGTTTTCAAATGGGAATTCATGATGTTAAAACATTCTGATCCGTTGTGGTCTTTCTGAGTTCTCTGCAACAGAAAAGTTGCTGTATTTTTTTTCTATAGTCAAAAAATGGGTTTTGAGCTAGCATTTTCCAAGGGATGCCTCAGGCCTAAAGAGATTGAGAATCACTGATTTAACTCTTCATTAGCCAGAAAGTCAAATTTGTTCATCCTGGCCCCTTCTGTAAGTAGTAAATAAGGTATGGTTGAATATGATTAGCTCCGAACAAAACCTCATTTTCATTGTCATAATGTTCAATAAATATTTCAGATAATGAAGATGCTTTAGGCTTTGGCAAAGGAGGGAGGAGCTCAGAAGAAGAAGAGAAATCCTTCCAAATGAAAGGAGGGAGGCATCATTCTGAGGATGAAGCCATGCAGGCAGAGGACACCTATGACACCAGGGAAGTAAAAAGTGAGGAAATGGAGGAGTCTTCCAAAGAGTGGGGAGACTCGAAGAGATGGAACAAAATGGATGAGCTGGCTAAGCAGCTGACAACCAAGAAGCGCATGGAGGAAAATGACAGTGGTGAAGACCCAGACAGATCCATGAAAATGTCACTTAGGTCTCGCAAGTATGACTTTAATAGTCCTGAAGAGGATGTAAGAAGGTCTTGGAATCACCACTCGAAGGAGGACAGCAGTGAAGGGTTTCCACTTGCCCCCATGCCAGAGGAAAAAAAAGATGAAGAGGGAAGTGCTAACAGAAGAACAGAGGTTGGTGAGAGACCTGTGCATGCATTTGAAAATACTATGTAGATATTAGCAATTATCCAAAGTACCCTTGGAGGTGTAGGAAGGTGCCTCACTTCTAAAATGTGACAGAGCTACTTCAGTAAGCCCAGTGTTGGGAAGAAACATGTGTTTTACCAGTTTGTGACCTTTCTGCTGTTCAGGGTTGTTAGTTATTTTGTGTATGGAACAGGAACCATACAGATTTAAAAACAAAAGCCCAGAGGCAGTTGGAGAAATGTATGTACCTGAACCACACTTACAGAGCCAGATTGCTTAAGCCGACCAAAATTCATACATAGAAAGCAACCTTACAAAAGCATAATTACAAGTAGCTTCTGGAGTTGCACATGTTATTTAGGTAAATGTATGTGCCTCTTGGTGGCAACATAGAGAATTCCCCTTTAATATTTGATATAATATTTGCTGTCTTTATGTGCCTCTGGGCCTATACCTTGGGGGAAAATTGTCACAAACTTCTTTCCATTTGGTGCTAGGCACTAAGTGGAAAGCCAGGGCCAGGACCGATAGAGGCTCAGGCTGGAAAAACACAAGATAAGTTGAGGCACTTATCAGACAATACAAGGGACTGCTGCCATAAAGGACTGGAGTGAGGAGAAGGGACTGGACAGTAGAAACTGAAGTTTTTTACCATTATCTTTAACTAGCATGTATTTTGAAACTACCCAAGCGTAGGTCTCTGGGAATAGTGTGGAGCTGTGGCTATAGGTTCTTCATCTCACATAATATATTATATCCATATTATATATTTCTATATATTCAATTAGTTTCCTCCCTTTCTTCCTCTTTCCTCTTCCTGGTATGCTGCTACTTATTTCCCCGAGGCTAGAAATAGGCTATTTTTTCCCTGCCATATCTTAAAAATTAAAAGGCAAAGGGGAGATTGCATAAGGATCTTATTCCAGACTTTGCCTTAACGGAGGCAAATCAAAGGAGACACTAAAAACACTTTAATGCACACTCTGGGAGAGCTGGCAAGGCAAATGACTGACTTGGCGCTGAACAACCATGTAGTCACTTTGTTCCTCCCTTTCCCTTCAATGAAGACCTTGAACAGGTCCTCTAAGTTTTATTTCTTCAAAGCCCTACTGATTTCACCCCTGCAGCTGCAGGTTGTAAGGGGCTCATCCATCCATTCTAGTATGACCCATTCATACCAGAATGGATGGAACATGCATTTAAGTCAATAAGGTGAGACCTGTTGTTTGCTACTGCATAAGCCCTGGCCGGCTATTGAGACATCCTGACCACTGACTGAACAGCAAGCCAATCAGAATAACTGGGACTGCAAGGGGGAGCAACTTCTGCAGTCAAACTGATCAGGGTTGCAATGGCTATAGCTAAGGGGGAGGGAGCTGTGACCTGACACCTGCACCTTTGCCAAAGAATTTAAGTTGCTTTTTGGGGGGAAGAAGTGCTTTCGTAAGTTTTCAGTTGGCATCCAAGATGTTGAGGTCCCGAGTATCCACTGCAGTTAACTGATTGCATATCCCATCATGGAGCCCCAAGGGAAAGGGTGGAAAGTTAGGGAAGACAGTCCACAGAAAGCACATAAGCACAAAAAATCTCCCACCAAAGGTACAGGTAGAGCCCTGTAGCAGAGAACCCCCTTTACTATACTTTTCATCCTTCCTATTCCTCTGCTTCATCCTAAAATAGGAGAACAATTCAAGCCAAGGGTCAGTTTGTAAAATCAGGCCAGAAGGTCTTATATTATCCTGCCTCCAGCACTGCTCTGGTACCTGATGCTTTAGCAGATGGCCTTCCTCCATTCTGTTTTATGCTTCCAGGCCACATTTTCCTGTTAATTCAGAATAAGTTATAAAATAACTAGATGTTCAACTGTTACTGAATTCTAAGAGTATAATCACGCTAACTGGTGTTACATATACAATTTATTTGAGCACTGTTGTGCAGAAAGGGCTGAAATGTGTTGGGCAGAGGGAAACCACCAAAACAGGAATTACTCTTCCATCTCTCTGTGGCTATTTAGGATTCTGGCAATAATGTTCCACACTATCCTCCTGACGTTCAGAAATACCTACATTTCAGCATGCTTGGACTCCCTGCAGTCGCAGGGAGATTATGGGAATGACTATTATTTTAGAATCAGTCTTAGAAGCCATTGAAACTCCTTAATGCCAATTACTCTCATTGTTCTGGGACTGGTAGCTTAGTTTTCATCTTGAAAGTCAGCTAGCTTAGTATGCTGTCTTTTAGTATTGAAATCACCATGTTTACAAAGAGCTGACTAAGTTATAAATAGACCATCTTTCTATCTCTCTGGGGAGGCAATCAGGTACCTTAACAACTTTCCTCTAGGTAGCAGTTGATGAAAGAGAAGTCAATACCTTTAATGCTGCAAAAAGGGAACTTGCAGAAGGTTCCATATCCAAATGAAGTAGGTGGCACTAATAGGCTAGAGGATTAAATTTGCCTATAGCAAGGTAAGTCCACATGTGTGCAAATGCACTCAGGAGAGGACACTGACTTTTTTAACTTACATGATGGCACCTCTTAGCTCCTTCCATCAAAATGCTTTGCAACGAGCTTGGGCATATAAGCATGGGTGCAAAGGATGTCAGTGGCCCAAGGGCCCATCTCCCTCGTGGAAAGTGGTATGCATTTCTTCCCATGTCCATTGATTTAGGACCCTCAGCAAGAATAAAAGTTGATGCCTATGCAGGTAAGTATTATTCCTACTTTACAACTGAGGAAACTGGAGCTCAGAGAGCATGAGCAAACCATCCATCAAGGAATTTTGGGACACACTTGGAAATAGAAGCTTCCCAGCACCAAGCCTGAGTGACAAAACCAGGCTCTCCCCCCCCAGAACAGGATATGCTGCTTCGAGTGGTGTTGGCCATTGATGGAATCAAGCACTATCCTGGAGGAGAGTAGAAATTGTGTGGGATAGGATAATACTCAACACACTGTACCTGCTGAGTAGTCTTTTGAAAGAGAAGCCATGGAGTCTCTCAAGTTAAATCCCTTGTGCTATGGCGGGAGGTGCTAAGTCCTGTGGATATTCTTTGGTTACCTTAAACAGTGGTTTTAGTAGACTCTGGAGGGAGGCCCATCCAGTATTTCTTGGAAGGGTCAGGGCCTGCGAAAACCAGAGCCTTTAAGGATTTTGAAGACCCAACTTATTTTCCTCCCCCCTAAGAAGATCCAACTGTAAAGCTCCTCATTCATTAAACTTCAGTGGCATCTGACTACCTCATCTTAAAGTGTGTCCTATTAGGTTGTACTGCAGAAATGCTTCTCTTGCTTTTTTGTTTTTTGTTTGGTTTTTTTTTTATATTCATTTTTTAACTAAGGACAAGGATTAGGAATAGGGATGTGTGTGGTGGGGAGAGGGGAGGTGTTCAGGAGCGCAGATTTCAGAGCATCTTTGCTCTGGGGACAAGTTTTTGACAAACAGAAACTCACCCTGATGGGTTTACCAAGTCCTGAACTGTACAGCAGTGCCCTTCCTGGTGTACTAGGGATTTGAATGGCAGTTTTCCCACATAAACCACCTGTGGAACAAGGCAAGATCAAACTTGGTATTTGCATGCTTTCGAAAGCAGAAGGTTGAATGTTTCTAGCATGGACTGGATCTGTTGCTGCCCTCATCTGTAGCAGTGAGGCCAGAGTAGCAAAGGCCACTTCAACAGTACTGGAGCACTGGCCTTTGTGGATTGCAGCTAGGCTTGGGCAAATTCTCATTGGGACTGATAGGCATTTTCCAGTGTAGAGACCAGGTCCACTAGCATGGGTGAGCCTTTTGGGTTTTACCTTTTATTTCTACCCTCCCCTCCTCCAGAAAATGCATGCATCTTAGCCTGCAGACATGGCTCACTCTGGCAGTGGCCTTTAGCCAGTACAAATCTTTGCTATTTATTAGTGGCCCAAAGGGAATGTTTAGCTGGTAGGAAGTTGTGCTGTTAGTGTCAGAGGTCTGCATCTCTATGTGTATGCCCATGGTCAATAGCACATGGCTCAAGTTAGTCTGCTAAATGAACCCATGTTATTTTGTAGCAAGATATGGGGTTTGAGAGCAGACTAGTTTGGACCAAGGAGACAACCTATACCAAAATAGCCTCATAAAAGGGCCACAGTAAAAAGCACCCAAAGAGTGTTTCAGGAAGGGTTGCTCATTAATAAGCTTCCCCATTACCTTTTTATACATTTTTTTTGTTTAAAGAGGAGCAGTCTAAATGCACAGCTAGGCTCTAGCTGTGTTTATACAGCAGCATATGTGGAGCTAGACTGCTGGTTCAAGGCACTATTTATGCCCAAGCGGGCACCAGGAACCCTTTGTTCTGTATGGGTGTAATGCAGTCCCTATACACCACGTGAAGTACCTCCTAGTAGGTCAGTGAGCTGCCAAGTTTATTTTGAATATTCGTAAACCTGCTTCCCCATAACCAGCAAGCTTCATATTCACAGCAAATCCAAAGAAAAGGAATCATTAAGAGGAAATCAGCAATTGTAAATTGCATTGCTGGCTTTTCTCATCTCTCCTCTACAAGCTTGGGAAAACAAACCCACAGGCAGATTAACTGATGTGAGCAATTCTGCTTACCCTCAGTGTAACAGGAGGTTTAATTTCCGTATGTGCTGTGTCAGGATAAAGTGATGGCAAGCACTGTAAATGAAGCAGATTCTCTCTCCTGTACCAAACTGCCCAGCGATTCACATGATCTTGACTTCAAGTATAGCTCTCTGCCACTGCCTTGCTGCATGGTTTTGTGCAAGTCACTTCACATGGCTACTCATCTCAGGCATCTGCTCTTTGAAGGATGTGGGGGAGGGTTTTACTTACCTAAGTCACCAGGGTGTCGTAAAGACCGATTCATGGGTAGCATCTACTTGGCATGTTAAGCAGTAAAAGAGAATGTTCTAAATTATCTGATAATATGCCTAGATTATTCTAAACATGTTTCTAAGATGGTGTACGAACTGAGAAACACTCTCCTCGTCTGTGAATATTAAAACTATCTGGATTCTTTACATCTTTTCTGAACAACCCAGCTTTAACTTTAAGGAGATTAAAATCTTCAAGCAGGAGCTCCTGATCTCCTCTGCACTTGGCTGGATGTCTCAGATCTCCTACATCAGTATATTATGAATTCCTTTATTCCTTAGATCTTGGAAAAGAGAGCTGCCATGCCACTACTCTGTGTTAGGAGTGTGAGACACAGCTGATGGTTAAATCAAGAATACTTTGCATTTAGAATAAAAAGGGAACAGTTGGCTGATTTCATATCTAGGGCATGTGGCTGCAGCCCCAGCAAGAAGGGCTCAGAGAAGGCAGCTAAAGCTCTCAGTGGTTTCAAGGCAGTAAATGTCAACTGCCTGCTTCAGAAAGTTACTTATTTTATTCTAAAGTAAAACCCTTCTAACCAAGATCCAAGCCCTGGCATGCTGATATTGTACCAACATATTGTGCCAGGCAGTGTCTGCCATGCTGTGTTTGTAGTCTAGAGAAAGGGCTAGAGGGGAAACAGGCAAAGAGGTGATATGACAAGCCACTGGCCTGATGTGTGATCTGGAACAAGAAGGGGAGGGGAATCTCAGTTCTGACTATCACGCTTTTATTTCAGCCACTGAAAACCACATTGCCTCTGGGTTGCCTACAAAGCAGATCCAAATTCAAATAACTAAGCCCCCTCCTATCTTTAATTAGGAAGTGCGGGGGAGGGGAAAAAACGTTAAGGGCTGGTCCGCCTGTGGCATAAATCATTTTGATTTATTGGCTTGTTACTTTAGGATCAAGAGCTGGAGAGCCTGGCAGCAATAGAAGCTGAACTGGAGAAAGTGGCCCACAAGCTTCATGAGCTAAGAAGAGGCTGAAGTTTTCCCAACTTGTATCATCAGTAGAAGCAAGAAATTGACTCCTCCTTTTACACAGCTTTTTAATTCACTGGTTAAATAAGTAAATAAATAAATAAATAAAATAAAAATAAAAATAAAAATAAAATAAAATAAAGATGGAGCAAAAGCATTTCATCTAGGAAGCTGGTATTGCTAGAAAATAACAGGCTTGGCCCTCTTTGCTGTAGTGTTGTGCTCGCCCTCTGCTTCATACTTGATTTTGTGTTCTCTCAGGCACTCTGGATTCTTTCTTGTACCCTTTGGATTCCTGTAGCCTGAACAGTGTGACTTACTCATGCATTTTCTGGTTTTTTGTTTTTTTTTTTTCTTTTGATTTTTTTTTTGTTTTTTTAAACAGGACAGCTTTCTAGAATGTTTCACTTCTACCATTAGTTTCTCTGGATAAAACTGCAATAACTTGTTATCTTTTGATTAAAATCTGAGAACTCTGACTGTAATATATTCTATATAAAAATTTATCTAAGGAAAAATAAAATGGTGATGGGTTCCCTCCTTTGTTTTTCCAGCTGTTGTCTCAATCCTTGCACACAGCACAAGGGGTTTTCTTATTGCAAAAACCCAGTAGAGAGAGGACCAAAATCTCCTCTATTCCCATGAAAAAAAGTTTTCTATTTCTAGTCCTGCCACACTAATACATTAAGCGCTATTTTATTGCCTGCCATTAGTGTTAAATAGTATGAGACTGTCAAGACAACCATGTAGCAGGGAGTGAGTTATGACCATCACATGCAAGTTCAAAAAACAGGGTGAGGTGCAGGAGAACAACAGGCAGGCAGGTTTCTTGCATTTAAAAAAAACCTATAGGATGCATCCTGAGGAGCGCAATGTGTAGTTTGTGGCACTGCAAACCCATTTAAGACACTGAACTGCACACTGCACATGTGCACCCCCATTGACCACACTGCTAATTCACAGCATGGCAGGGTGGTTTTTTGGACCCCAGAAGATCCTGGTGTGAAAAAAAAAAAAACCAGCTAAAAAAAGCAGCATAGTGCACATGGCAGCAGTATGCACTGCCAGAAATGGAGCCTGGCCAGCCAGAGCCATAGTCTGGCTGCTGAACAGGTTCTGAGTAGCCAGCTTGATGCCACTGCTGCCCTTCGAGACCCCCAGGGCCCCAGGTAAGGCTGCTGGGGCCAGCACAGGTGCATACCCTAGCCTCTCCTACCGTACCCAGAGCATGCATACAGGGATGTGCCCTGCAACAAAAAGCAGCAGCACAAATATGTGCCATGGCTTTTTGTGCCATGGGAAATGTGTGCCTTGGCATGTGTGTGCGCTTGTCAGGATGTGCCCATAGGTTGTTTATACATGTGCTCCATGGCGGGGGGAGGGGAGCAGAATGCTTTAATTAGAGCGACTCAGAGCTGCTCCAATTAAAACACTCCAAGTGTTATATGCATCAGCAACCCTGTATTGAAAAATGGCAGTGGGGGCACTTTAACTAAAGCTTAGGCGCTTTCTCTAAAGTGTGGTAATTACCACTCCAGCAGACTCTATTAGAGTTTGCTCCGATGTGCTGTAATTACAGTGCATTGGAAAAGCCTCGCTGCACATGTAGAAGTGCCCATAGGGTCCAAATTCAAATGCCAGGTTTTCCATTTGCTTCCATGAAAGATACAAAAAGGGACAGTGCCTGTAGACCCAGAATCAGGAATTTAAGCAAACTAAATATGATTTAGAAGTTTCTGCAACGGATCTAATTAGAAATGAAAAGCAGATACTTTGGGCAGGAAGGGAGAGAATTCAAAAAGAAAAAAAGAAAAAGAAAAAAAGAGTCTAGCAAAGTTAAGAAGGCCCAGCCTTAAGGAATCTCATTCTGTTCCCAGCCACACACATTTTCAGAGCTGTAGCAGTGTAATTAAGGACAGAATTTAACTCAAGAATTTCATAATATTTTCTCCCATTCTTTGGGATAAATTCTACACATGGGATGGATGCCATGGATGGGATCAATGTAGCCAATTTGCCTTTTTACAGTGCATCTTCATTTCAATGCACAAGTGTCAAAACCTAGTGACTACGTGGTACATCATGTTACAACTCATACAATAGCTACATCAGAATCTGTAGGATGAAAAACAATCTTCACAGTTACAAAGGAAACCTCCCAGGCATGACTTGAAGCAGCAACATCCTACTGAGGCTTCAGTATGGCAGCCTGAACTGTAGCTCTTGACAGTTTGGAATACCCCATTCATCTCAAAGGGTATCGACTCTGAACGCTAATGACCACATTAAACAAACACTGCAGATACACCTAGAATTGTAAATGCCTAGGCAAATATGGAACTAGAGTAAGCATCTCATTGCTAATCATTTCAGTGCAACATCCAGCAAAACGAGGAGCACAAGCTGGGTTTAAGAAGAGTTCTACCGTTTTTTCACTCTTAATCCTGGGTCCCCTTTTTGACAGTGGCTCCAGTTTATAATGGAAGAGAAAGCTAAGAAAATTCAGTCTGCAGGGCATGCTTTATCCATTTTTCATGCCCAATTAAAGTCTTAAATCTGCTGTCAGCTGACTGGGAAACACCACCATGGTCCTATCTTCACAACAAACTAGAACTGTGTTTTAGCCAAATCACGGGACACCTGTAACCAAAGACTGAGTCAGTGGTAAGTGGCATATGGACAATTAATTTCTGTACTGCTTGGACTGGAAAGAAAGCCCTTATTTATTTATTTTTTAAAGATAGACAACTATTCCATATTCCTCATGGAATCCCCGCCACCTCCCTCCCCCGTTTTCAACCCAGGCTATGAATTGCAGTGCAGCTAACATGTCCAGGTAGATTCCAGTCTCTGCAACCTTCATAATTATTGTTGTTATGGTACAGCTTATAGGTTCCATCCACAGTGAGGGCCCCATTGCAGTGAGCACTACTTTCAAGTGCAATAAGAGAGCCTTAAAAGCTTGTAAAATAAATAAGCAAGACAGACAGAAGGCATGAGAGAAGAAAGGCATAGAAATGTAAAGCGACTTGTCCAAAGGTTGTACATAGGTCATCTTAACTGAAAAGAAAATGCAAATATCCTTACTCTACATTCTATAACTCTTCTGGGAATAAGCATGGAGGATCTAGTATAAATTAAATCTATGCGATACCATAGGAGTTCTTCTAAAATTCTATAAATGTTAGAGAATTGTAGCCTGCCTCCAATATTCATTCTTTAAACCATCCTTTTTAAATTACCACTTACCAAATATTGTAAATGCTGTGTGGTAGGGACAGTCTTTCTACAGGCATGGGTGATGCCTTGCAGTGATTATTGGAATATAAGCAATAATAAATGTTATAGAATGCCTAAAAACTGTAGACAGGTAGATATTTACTATTAAATTCTATTTAGCATCAGGAGAGAGAAGTATTTTGTTGATGCCACATTATTTTGATGCATCCTATAAAAAATAAATCTTAAATTTAAAGGAAGTGTGGAAAATCTAGAGGGCTTTCCACGGCTGACAGTAACTGTTATTAAAAGGGTGAATTTGACATCTGAGCTACAGCAGAAAACAGTATTAACAAGTCAATACTTGCCGACCAATGCCACAGATGCATCCCTATATTACCAGTAAGTAAAGGATGAAAGAGAAGCAAATTCACATCCCAGGCAAGATTTCATAAATGCTTCTTAGAACAATAATTTCCTCTCAGAAGTAAAAAGGAAAGCCCATACTAAAGCACTGTGAATCAATAATCATGCTTAAAGACAGAACTAACTAGCATGGCTGGATTACATTGAGGGTCAAACCTCAATGAAATTTGGTGCATTTTTTTTTCTCTCACCATCTTTCTGGGAAAAAAGAAATGACACTCATTAGTGAGGCAGATACAAATCAGGTCTACAATTAGCCACCAAAAGTAACTAAGTTTGAAAAGGAAGATGTGAAAACTGATACCATGAAATTTTGCTGCCCGTAGCAAGAACCCCCACACATGCCCTCTTCACTCATTAACAAACTGCAGAGTGAGAGATGTTGTAAGGCATTTATTTCATTATGTGTTGCAAAGGGACAGTTTTGTCTCCAAAACAATTACAGAAATAACAATACAATACTTACTGCATAATATTCTACTGTTAAAACCAAAATATTGTCCATCACATGTGCTTGGCAAATGAAGAAATGGGATAAGTTGCCATTGAAATAAATGGTGTTAGAAAGCACCATCTTCACTGTCATCATCACATGTATTCTGTCATGCAGTAAAGTAAAAAGCCAAAAAGAGCATGTATTTTTGGTTTTTACAGTAAGCCATGATTTTTTTAAAATTTTATATACTTATATACAAATTAAGTACAAAACTTATTTTATTTTCATAAGTCATTTGTGAACAGGACCGAAGCAAAATCACAACACACACACGCTTGTTAACACTATAAAGCTGGATTTATGCATGTGTGTTGTTATACTCGTGACACTCATCACAACAAAAAAAAATTAAATAAAATCAGAATGGTCCCAAACTCGTGGCACTGGACTGGGAACTCTACATTTTAACCATGCCAAGGACAAAGGAGGGCATACAACTCCATTCACACATGAAGGAATATTTTTCTTAAAGCTGTGGGATCCAAAGGGATTATATTTGAGGAGAATGCTGGCATTCAGTGGGGTATGTGATTCTCACAGGGATACATGTGAGCCATATAAAATACTGAATAAACAATCCAAAGAAATAACTTAAAAAAATTACATCTAATACAATATTTTTCTTTACAGCACTGACTTTTTACAGGAGATAAACAACCCCTCTCATTCTTATGGGCTCCTAACATCTAAAACAGAAACTTGCTATTTCATACTTAAAGTACACGTGCCCTTTCATAATTTTATTTATTTTTTATATATATATATATATATATATATGCGCGCCTTTTCACACAAAATGTTAACATAATTTATATCTGAAAACTACTGTAGAAAGAATGCAAGATAAAAGAAAATAATATGGATTTCCTTAAAATGATTAACTGGGAAGACCTGATTTTCAAGAGTTCCAATCATTCAATTATGGCTGTTTCTGGAGTTTCCACTGATTTCCCAGGCAACAATGAAATATAACAGCAAAACAAAGAGCCTGGCATGAGCAAAGGAATTTGGATTTTTGCCATTTATTTTCCCTTTCCATGCAAATAAATAACAAGTAGGCTCAATACAAGTTCCAAGTCCAATGGTGTCACATGGCCCATAAGAGGATATTTCTGCACCAGTCTAGGGAAGCCCCCAGGGAGTATCATACAGGGATATGCCATGCCCAGTTGGAGAATGCTATGTCTTGAACTGGAAAAGGTGTAGTCACCTTACTGTACTGTTGTGTGAAAGCCAAACATCTGTGTAAGCTCTGTAAAACAGGACTTATTGGCATGCATAAAGCATCACACTCCAAGGAAGCTAAACTGCTTCCAGCTAGGGAGGTAGTGGGTCCACCACATGTCTCCATATGGCACTCCATGGTGTCATGTTGGG